TTTTGCTTTCTCCGAAAAGCAATGGAAAAAAAAAATATCCACAGGTGAGGATTAAGAACACAATAACAACAAAAAGAGTAATTAACTAACTGAATAAATGAAAGCTTAACACCCATGTTGGTGTGAACCATGGCTAATCTAATTCTATTGATATAAACCTGAGGTTGGGAGTGAAAAAGAGATTGGGAAAATACCACATATGCTGCAGTGTACCCTGTATACTACTATTGTATGTAGCGGTATGTCTTGGAATGCTTGCTGTAGTAGCACGTATAGGTCTATTCCATTTTTAACATTATATATGTTTTTATTGATTTCAGAGAGGAAGGGACCAGGAGAGAGGTGGAGAACATCAATGATGAGAGAGAAAATCATTGATTGGCTGCCTCCTGCCAGCCCCCCTACTGGGACCGAGCCCACAACCTGGGCATGTGGCCTGACCAGGAATTGAACCACCGTGCGTGACCTCATGGTTCATGGGTTGACATTCAATCACCGAGTCACGCTAGCCAGACTATTCAGTATCTACTTTTTCAGACTTCTCTTCATGTCTTTTGGACCGAAAATGGCCTGTAAATTCGTGTATTTGGCCCTGCTCAACAACCCAAATCTTTAAAAATCGATTACAAACCCTTAAAGCCAGGAGGAGATGATTTTTGTTAACCAGTGTCACCCCAACACATTCAATAAAAAGAAGAAAAAAATAATGAGAAAAAAAACACACCCCGAAACAAAACAAAACAAAAAAACAAAACAACATCCACCAGGAGACACGACAAACCAGTCTGGAGTTCTGCTTCTTTTGAACAAATCAGAAGATCTATGAGTCACGGGCCCCGTTCCCAAGAGCAGCGATGGACGGGTCGGCCCCGGGACCCACCCGCCGTGTGTTCCCAGGCCAACACACCTCAGGGTGTTCCTGCCCGGGGCACCTTTGCCATTTACCATCTTCCTGGTTATTTTTGCTTCCACCTGGCCCGCCTCCCTCAGTCACATTCCCTGCCCGGCCCCTGGAGCTTTGTTTGAGTCTGTGCCTCCCGGTTGGGTGGCCACTGCAGAGCAGGAACAGGTTGAAGCAGAGTTTAAATCACTGATGAACCGGGGCCCAGATTGGCCTCTGCCTGGGGCTTAAAGGAGACGTAGATTGATGGTGTACTTCAAAGGCGGAAGAGACACTTCTAAGGGTTCTGAAAGAACTGCCGCTACTTGCCTGCATTACATCCATTGTACCTTTCAAGAGGATTCTGTGATGTTTAAATACAATAAATGAAAGTTTCCAAAATTAGATATAAATACCGTGGAGGAATGCTACCATGTCTTAAATGTGAATCGCCTGAAAGGGGCAAAATGAGATTCCAACTCTTAAAATTCCTTTGTAGAACAGTTAAAAGTGGTGGTGGTGGTGGCGAAGGTAAGAGATCAACCAGAGGATTCGTATGCATTCATATACGCACAGCCAATAGACACAGACAGTAGGGGGTGAGGGCTTGTGTTGGGGGGGAGGGAGTGGCTGGGGAGAGGCCAATGGAGGGAAAAGGAGAGAGGAGACATATGTAATACTTTAAACAATAAAGAATTTAAATTTAAAAAACAACAACAGTTCAAGTGTATTTTATTGTCATTCTTTATAACTTCTCTCACTGTCCCTATAGTGATAAATATTTGCAGAAGAAAGGAAAGAAAAAAGGAGGAGGGGAAAAATGAAGGAAATTACTTGAACACAGGGACGGGCTAATTAAATAAAAATAAAAAAAAATTAGTTTTTGCCCTAACCGGTTTGGCTCAGTGGATAGAGCGTCGGCCTGCAGACTGAAAGGTCCCAGGTTCGATTCCGGTCAAGGGCATGTACCTTGGTTGCGGGCATATCCCCAGTAGGGGGTGTGCAGGAGGCAGCTGATGGATGTTTCTCTCCCATCGAGGTTTCTAGCTCTCCATCCCTCTTTCTTCCTCTCTGTAAAAAAATCAATAAAATATATTTAAAAATATATATCACAGAGGGGTCCTGTGTAACCATTAGCTAGATTCCCTCGCTGCTGACTTTCTCCATCACTGTAGGCCAGTTCCTTTTTGTATTCCAGCGTCACAATAGGTGTTAAATGTCTATTGAAGGAATACGCTTTTGCACAGGGAACTAATAGTATCATCTGTTGATGTAGCAGATTACTCCATGTTTTATTTTATTGCCTTTGGTGGGTAATATATGCGCACGGAGCAAATTTAGTAGGTACGAAGGTGGCGCAGCAATAAAGTAGGTCTCCCTCCTTTCTCTGCCTCCCAGTCATCTGGAGGCAGCCATTTTTTTGTGTTTGTTTCTTATATCTCCTTCCACACATAGTCAATGTTTGCAAACTTTTATGTATCTGCTGTCTCTACTCCACCTCCTGGCAGCACACCAAATGCACATCTTTTCCTACGTAGCAGTGTGTATTGAAGATCATTCCGTGTAAGTGCATAGAGTGCTTCTTCATTCTCCTTTTTAAAAATATATTCTATTGGCACATCCCCAGTAGGGGGTGTGCAAGAGGCAGATGGTCGATGTTTCTCTCTCATCGACGTTTCTAGCTCTCTATCTCTCTCCCTTCCTCTCTGTAAAATATCAATAAAAAATATATTAATAAAAAAAATATATATTTTATTGATTTCTCACAGAGAAGAAGGGAGAGGGATAGAGAGCTAGAAACATCAATGAGAGAGTAACATCAATCAGCTGCCTCCTATACACCCCCCACTGGGCATGTGCCAGCAACCAATGTACATGCCCTTGACCGAAATCGAACCTGGGACCCTTCAGTCCTCAGACCGACGCTCTTTCCACTGAGCCAAACCGGTTTCGGCTCTCCATTTTTCTTAATGGCTACTTAATGTGTTCCATCATATATTAAATTGCTGTACTATAATTTATTTAACTAATCTCCTATTGGTGGGCATTGATGTTTATTATTATTACTTTTAAATATATTTTTATGGATTTCAGATAGGAAGGGAGAGGGAGAGAGAGGCAGAAACATCAATGAAGAGAAAGAATCACTGATCGGCTACCTCCTGCACAACCCCTCCAGGAGGTGAAGCCTGAAACCTGGGCATGTGCCCTTGACCAGAATCGAACCCGGGACCCTTCAGTCCACAGGCCGACGTTCTATCCACTGAGCCAAACCGGCTAGGGCGGGAGTTGTTTATTATGAAAAACAAGGCTGCTGTGAATATCCATGCCTGTTATTATTTACAATAACACAAATACTTTGGGAATAAAGCATATATTTATGGATTTGAAATTCCTGACCTTCCCTATTTGATCATCGGGATAGAACTCGGATGGCCGATAATTTCCCGATGCTCTGTGTGCTTTTTGGCCTAAGTCAACGAAATTTGCCGAAGACCTGGCAGCTCTAGCTGATGCTGGTGCACCTGCTGTTTTCATATGAGTCTGATAAGTCTAGAAAGGAACAAGATAAGTTCTGCTCGGGATGGTATCCGAGGGATGTGTCACGCCAGATAATGAAGGCGCATCACTTTTCTTCCCTCCTATCACTGGATCCAGCTCGCTGATCCAGCCCTTGATCCTCACCAGTGGGCCTTATCTTCTGTTTGAAGTTCTTTTCTATCTCCCTGAACTGCCTGCCAGATTTTGGTGAAATCTCATTACTCAGTAAATACCTCCATTTCTAAACAGCGTTCTACTGCCGAGAGATGAATCATGTTACGTAGTGCTGCTGGGCTATGTCTCGTTAACCATATTTTTCTTGAGGCAGAGTTTTAGAAATGGAAACCGGTTTCTTTATGGACCCTCATCTGGGTTTTCATCGAAGTCCCCGCGGGGAGGGCGGTTGGTTGTCCTTCGCCACGTTCAGAATTTATTTTGGGGAAGCCCAGCGTTCCTAAGCAGCTGTGAGTTCACAAGCTGCCCCAAACGTCTGCGGAATGGAAGGGACACACGGTGATGAGCTTATCGCGAAGTCTTTTAGTCATTAATTCATGCAGCAAATATTTTTTTGAGTGCCTACTCCGGGCCAGGCAGTCGTGGCCTACGTCGGTGAACAAGACAAGATCCTAGCCATGATATAGAGCTTGTTCTCTGGCATGTGTGTATGTGGGGCGTGGAGGAGAGACGGAAATAAATAAGCACATTTATTTAATATGTTAGAAGGTAGTGAATGCCCTTGGCCTCTCCCGAGCCACTACACACAGCAAGACTCAAAGTTTCAGAACTTCTCTCTTGAGGGGGGTTGTTTGAGTTACAGTCTCTGGGGCTGCATAACAATGAACTCCATTAAAATCCAAATAGCTAAATGCTCCCCCCCACCCCACCCTTTTGAGAATAACTGTCTAAGCCACACCCGTGCAAGAACTGGATTAAGTCCCAGCATGGCCCAGCTGCCATCGGCCCCTGCCCGCCTGCCTGGGCCTTTCCCATTCCATCCTGGAGGTGGGGGTGAGGATGGAGGGACGCTCTGCTCCGGGGCAGAGGGGATCTGGGAAGGACAAGGTCCTCCTAACTCCTGTACGGAACTAGGGGGGCGTGGGGCCTCCAGAGAGGACGCATATCGCTCAGGAGCAGAACGCGATCCCCCACTCCCGCCAAACTCTGGCAATCCCCGAAGAGAAATGTCTGCCGCTGAGGGCTCAGCGCAGCAGGGGCGGAGCAGGCACTAAGGGGTGGGGCATGCGGTTGGGGGCGGAGCGAGGGGCGGGCGTAGAGACGCCGGGGGCGGAGCTAGAAGAATGGGCGGAGCAAGACAGCGGGGGGGGGCGTGGGGCGTGGCGAGAACAACGGGGCGGAGTGCAGGCGGTGGGAGGAGCCGGGGCGGAGCGCGGGCGGTGGGTGTGGCTAGAACAATGGGGCGGAGTGCAAGCGGTGGGCGGGGGCTGGGGCGAGGGGGCGTGGCGTACGCCGGGGCGGAGCGCGGGCGGGGGCGTGCCCGCCCACAGGGCCCCGCCCCCTGCCGCAGGCGCGCCCGCCCCGCCTTCCCGCTCCCCGGGGAGGCCGCGGCGGTCGAGCGCGGGTAGGGAGGGAGGGGAGAGCGGGTCACGACGCTGTCGGGGCGGGGATAACCCCTCACGTGGAGCAGATGAAAGGGCCGCGGCGCGACGGCCGGGGGAGCCGAGCCGAGCCTGCGACCCACAAAGCCGCCGCCGCCGCCGCCGCGATGGGGCTGTGAGGCGCCCGCCTGCCCTCGGTCCCTCCGCCGGCCCGCGACTATGCCCGGCCGCGCCCGCCCTCCGCGCCCTCCCGCCGCCGCCGCAGGACCATGAGGCCGCGCTCGGGCGGGCGCCCAGGGGCCCCGGGCCGCCGCCGCCGCCGCCTCCTCCGCCGCCGCCCCCGCGGCCCCCGCGGCCCCCGCCTGCCGCCGCCGCCGCCGCTGCCGCTGCTGCTCGGGCTGCTGCTGGCGGCCGCGGGGCCCGGCGCGGCGCGGGCCAAGGAGACGGCGTTCGTGGAGGTGGTGCTGTTCGAGTCGAGCCCGAGCGGCGACTACACCACCTACACCACCGGCCTCACGGGCCGCTTCTCGCGGGCCGGGGCCACGCTCAGCGCGGAGGGCGAGATCGTGCAGGTAGCTAGCCGCCCGCCCGGGCCCCGCGCCGCCGCCGCCGCCGCCGCCACAAGATGGCTCCGGGGGCTGCGCCCGCCGACCCCGCCGCGGGCTGGCGGGCGGGCGGGCGGGAGGGGCGGCGAGGGGGCCGGCGGCATCCCTCCCCGGCGGGAAGGAGGGCGGGACGCGGCCTCCGGGGCGCCGGGGCGGGGGTGGGTGGGGGAGTGGGTGGGGGAGTGGGTGGCGGGGGGAAGCGCACGTGGGGGCCCGGCCTCCTGTGGATCCGGGGGCGGTGAGGAGGAGAACCCCCCCCCCCCCCGGGTCCCGCACCCACGTTGGCCACGGCCCCCCCTCCCCCCCGGGGCGGCTGGGGCATTCCGGTCTGCCTCAGGTGGAAGTCCCGGGAACTACCTGTTGCATGCCAACTTTGCAAAGCTGAGTGACGAAGGATGGGGTGGCTGCCTCCTTGCAGGCGGCAGGCTTGGCTTTCCATGTGCATGCATGCATGCTCGTTCCGGGAGCAGCCAGGGGTGTCTGGAGGAGCCGTGCAGCCAGGTTCTTCGCTGGAGCCTCACCTGAGGGCTGATCCGCTTGCAGGGCTGGGGTGAGCAGCAGCAGCAGCAGCAGCAGCAGGCAGGGGCACGGGCTGGGGGGTGGGGGGTGGCCCGGGAGGAGTGCCTTGGTTGGAGTGGGCCGCGGAGGGCAGCCCTGTGCGTGCCTCCGATCTCAGAGGCGGGGAGGGAGACTTCTCGCCTGCCCACCCCTGGGCCAAGGACTCCCGAGGAGGGAGGGCCTGGGAGCCCGGGAGACTGGGTCGCCCCCTGACAGGACCTTCCCCTTGGAAGGAAGTCTGCATTTCAAAGCATCCTAGCGGCCAGGGAGAGCCTCCTGCTGAGCCCAAGCCTCCGGCCCCTGGAGCTGGGGAGCGATGCCTTCCCGCTTCCTTGGCTCCGATGTTACCCACTTGCTAGTAGTGGCCAGGCCAGCGCGCTTGGGGTGGTGAGGGTGCATGCATGCCTCGGATGGGGGGCGATTGGAAACGGGCGATGGTGATGGGGTGATGGGCGCAGGGCCCAAGCTCTGGGGCCTTTGGCGCGTTCCCTCTTTGGAGGAGCTATGAATGAAGAGGAGGAGAGGAGGGGGTTGTATGGCCTGATTGCATAGCAGCCTCCCTCCCCAGTGTCCCCCTCCCTCCCGTGCAGACAGACTCAGCCCTGCGTGGATGGGAGCGGGACCTGGGCATGGGGCAGGGAGCTGGGCAGCGTGGCTCCCGAGAGGTGTGTCTCCACCCAGCTCTGCTGGGCCATTCATTGGCAGCATCGCCTCGCCTCGCAGGGCTCCTGCTCCCACCTTCCCCTCCAGGGGAAGCGGACGGGGCAGCACATGTTTGAGCCCTGGGACTGACTGCCTGTGTTAAAAGGCCTCGGACGTTTTTCTTGGATGCATGTTATCCTTGTGGTCTTTTCCTTGATCAGCTTTCGGGGCGATGCTGTGCTGAAGATCCCTGCAGCTTGGAGTCGCGCGCAGCCTCGGGAACTAACTGGTTTGCATGGGGGGGAGAGAGGGCTGCTTGCGGCTCCGGATTCTCTGAGGATTGCCCTGGGCCCCGCCGGCGTTAGAGACGTTTGATTTACGGCCTCCCCCCCCCAGAGGAAAGATGTTTTAACGTGCACTTGAGCTCTCTGAAGGAGACTTTTGAAGTCGGCGATTTTTATCTGCAGTGTTTTAACTTGTACTTTCTCTCCCCGCAGTAGTTTGGCCAGCGATCCATTCCATGAGCAGCGTGCTATGCTTTGGAGATAATCTCGGGTTCACCATTTAATACAGAATTAGCAGTTTAAACACACCATTTGTAACTATTTTATCCTCGGCGAGCGGGGAGATAATGTGTGAATTTGGCAGAAGGAATCTGTTCTCTTCTGAAGCGTTTTGAAGTGCTTATCTCGCTCTTTTGTAGTCCATTTAGCCTAGCCAAAAAAAAAAAAAAAAATTTTTTAAAGTCAACAATTGCTAAGTAAAGAAAAATGACTTAAATGGTATTTAATACGTTTACCTGTTAGGCAATCACTAATAGGTGTCCTTAACTCCCTTATAGCCGCAGTAACGCCAGTGCGTGTATCTGGGCTGTTGGAGGAGGCCTTTCTTGGTTGCTCTCACTCGATGTCTTTAATAACCTGATTGTGGGGACCCATCCCTGAGCCTCTCTGAGCACAGAAGGAGCACAGCGAGGCTTTTGGGCTGTGTGTGAACAGGCAGGCACGTGGTCATTCGTTCATTGAAGGTGCTGCCCAGGGTAAGGACCTGGTGTGGCCCCTGTCAGCCCTGAAAGGGGTTTTTGTGAGGAAAGTTAGTGCTTGTAGGACTGCGGAGAGGGAATATGACATTTTCATGAGAGAGGAGAACGCAGAAGGAACAACTTGGTGTTTAGCTTTGGATCAGTCATGTTTTCTAATTGCCCTTGTTATATATATGTATATGTATATGTATATGTATATGTATATGTATATGTATGTATATATATATATATATATATATATATGTATGTATATAAACTCGGTGCAGGATTTGCTGTGGACTGCTTTCTGGTCTTCAGAGCAGAGTTCATTTTTCCTACAACTAACCCTAAATAATAGCGCTGTCCTGGTAGCATTGCTTTTGCTATTTCCAGTGGGGATCATTGGCACTGTTCATGGTGTAGGGGAGGGGGAAAAACCTGTTTGGGAGTCTCTTTTAAGAATTCTAAGATAGGAAATTGGTTTGTATTACTGATTTGTTTCCCGCCCTGTTGCATACAATGAAAGAGTGTGTGTGTGTGTGTGTGTGTGTGTGTATACAGTTGGTACCTTATCATATACAGTCTGATAGAGAACCTGTTCAGTCATTTGCATAGTTTAGGGTAGCGGGAGGCCTGGTTAAGAAGTGTGTGTGTGTGTGTGTGTGTGTGTGTGTGTGTGTCTGAGAGAGAGTAAGTAATTCAAACCTTGGGATTAGTCACAGGATTCTTGGTTCTCTGTGTGCATTTTAGGCTTAAATAACTTTCCCAAGGTCACAGTGTGCTCTGTAAGAACAGAGCGCGCGCGCTCTCTCTCTCCACATCTTCATCTGTGAGAATTGTGAAAACAATGTGTGGATATGAAATGCTATTAATTACTTTTATTATCTTATTCATGCAACATCAAAGCCCACATGCTTATAAGAGTGTCAGGCACGCAGTGTGAGTGCTGGGGGAATTAATTACACTTTTCCTGTGGTTCTGAAGTGTGGGGCTTTACAGCGTTCTGAGACATATTGATACATATTTCATCTCCGAGCCAATTTGTTGCTTTTAATGAGATCATTATCTGAAACTTTCAGACTTGGCTGTGCAGCTTGTGGGTAGTGATGTTAAATAAAGGCCCGATCAAACACTGGCTAGTGGTATGCGGATTGGCTAAACAAAGAAAATTTGCATCGCTTAGAGATGAAAGATTGTTTTAAAGTGGAAATGCTTGCCTTTCCCTCCCCCTCCCCCCCTTCTTCTTGAAGTCAAATACTTAGAGACGCTTGAGAAATTCATGTGTAAAAGGAATCCGAACGATAGGGTTTGTGCTACTTTAGAATCTGCCTTCCTGGGACATGGGCTGAGTGGCGAATGGTCTTGAAAGCAGCGGGAGAGCCGAAAACGTTTAAGATCTGATCTGGTGCCTCCGGGAGGAGAGCTGGGTGGAGGTCCTTAACCATCCAGTGTCATCAAAGGGCATCACAGAGAACCCTTTGAGGAAGCTAATTCCTCTGCCTTGTGTCCCTGTCAGTGTGTTTTTGCCGTCCAGCTTTTGATCAAACACGTTCTTTTCATCTCCGTTTTACGTTCACTTAATAGTCCTGCCTCTAAACAGTGCCTGTGCCTAATAGAACACGTGTGTGCTGACAGCTGACCCGGGCGTATGTGGACAGAGATCGCCGGCTCTCTCACCCGAAGGGCCTTCGCAGGTGAACATCAGGCGTTCGAAGTGAGAAAATAGTCACTCGGGTCCTTTCCCGCAGGGATCCGCATGCAGGACGCGGGAGAGCATTAGGACTGTGTTTTGCGATCCTGGTGAATTCTGAGGGGTTCCTGTCTCTCCCCCTGGAATCTCATAGGAGCTGCTTGGAGATGAGGATGGGAGGGGAGGGGAGTGTGGAGTGTGGAGATAGAAGGGAAAGTGGTGGCGGCTTCTGTTGATGAGCATGTATTGTGCACGGGGCACTCCGCCAGACGTATCCCACGTTTGCTCACCTCCTCGTGACACAAACACGGAATTAGCAGCCATTGTGAACCCATTTTGCAGATGAGGAAACTGAGGCCCTGGTTTCCATCCTTAACACAGCTAGCAAGTGATAAAAGCTGGATTAAAGCTCAGGTTTCTTTGGCCCCTTTTGTTCCTATCTTTGCTAAATAAATAGACTCGGCTGGTTCGGAACTTGACATTAATTCAGATCTAACTTTTTTTTTCTTTTTTCTTTTTTATATATTTTATTTATTTATTTTTTTTACAGAGAGGAAGGGAGAGAGAGAGTTAGAAACTTCGATGAGAGAGAAACATCGATCAGGTGCCTTCTGCACGCTCCCTGTTGGGGATGTGCCTGCAACCAAGGTTCATGCCCTTGACCGGAATCGAACCTGGGACCTGTCAGTCCGCAGGCCGCCGCTCTATCCACTGAGCCAAACCGGTTTTGGCCAGATCTAACTTTTTAACAGTGTAGTAGAGGGGTGCTGCACCTGAGGGTCACAGACTTCCAGCGATGGCCTGTAAATGAACCTGAGATGCTGCATGCACTTCCCTTTTCCTGAGCAGATACGCAGTTTTGCCGCTTGGAGGGTTCTGGGATGCCCCCTCTCCTCCCCAAGAGGAGAGAAGGAGGCCCCCATCTAGTTCCTGGGAATTTGAGAGGAGCGAGGTCAGCAGCACGCGTTGTGGAGAAGAAGCCTGCAGGTGTGCACGCCTCCGTGGAGCATGTTTATTGGGTAGATATTCACCAAAGGCCTGTTTCGTGCCAGGTGC